CCATTGGGGTTATATTAACAAAATTCGGCCTTATTCGTCGTTTTTGTGTGGAAAAATCCCTTGCATACGAAACACCTAATTACACAAAGAATCTTAGAACACTTTCCTGGGGTATTTAAAACTAAAAATTTGCATTCGAGCTCAGCAGCCAATCAGCGACCCCCATGTAGTAAATATCCTATTTATTTTATTATCACGTGTGCGCCAGCTGACTGTGCACTGAATATAATACGAAAATATCAGTCTTAAACATCACTATATATGTAATCTAAAATTCAAAAGAAAATAGCATAGATATCCCACCTGTCAGAAATATAAAAATTTTGGCTTTCAAAAAATCCTATATATCTTAATAATATACACAATAGGAAACAATTTTACATACATATATACATACAGGATCAAATATTTGTAACAGAATTATTAAAATAATTCTACAGAAATTATCTCTGTATACAAAATATACATTAAGTTTTCACGTAAAGGAAATAATTAAGTCACTTTCCAGTTAAGTACCGACACAAAATGTTTCTGGTCGCCTGGTTGGAAACATAATCAAACTCCTCATATTTTATTCATTGACAAATAAATGCAAGCTGTTTATGGTGTAGTACGCCCTCTATGGTGTAGTACGCCTTCTGTAGCATAGTTTAAATATCTAAAGGTAGACAGCCAGGATTTAAAATGCCAGAGTTGTCATTCAAATTTTGTTTAAAATATATTTCATGAATTTTATACCGTAAATGTCCCGCAGGACCGTACATTAATGCGATGGGATGTGTTCGACAATTGTGATACTTTAAAGGTTGCAATTACTCAATAATTAGTAAACAAGCAGCCTGTCGGCTGAGATAGCTCCACTGTTAGCAATGCACATGGCAATTAAAGAACAGAAGATATCATTAGAAAATGAACAAATCTGAGAGAGGTTCACATGTAGTACCTATATATGTAATATCAAAGCAATTGGACTTGCGGTTTTCAACAAGTCGAAAATATCACTTTTTACCAAAAATGACAAAAATATTCACCAAAATTAGAGAATTAAAGATATCATTACAAAATGAACAAATCTGAGAGAGGTCTACCCAAGGTACATATACACCAAGTATCAAAGCATTCAGGCTTGTAGTTTTCAAGAAGATGTCGAAAAAGTAAAACATTGACACGGAGGACGACAGACGACGACGGACAATCACTCATATGATAAGCTCCGCTCGACAAAGTCGACAGCGGAGCTAATAAAAACAGTTGTCAAAATTCATTCCCAAAACATAAAAAAAATATCACATTTTAGCAGCATTCAAGTGTCCATTATATTTGAAAACTAGATACATTCATTGAAGGTTACTCATTAAGATTTACGAATAATTTATAGATTTTTTAAAAACTCAAAATGGCAGTTAAAAACCAAATGACCACTCACAGCAATTTGATGTCATTAGTGGAGATAAAATGCAAGCTAGAAAAAAATATGAATGCCCTCATAGGGCAATATTAAAAAAAAAAAAAAAGTATCCCAACAGAAAATCATAATCTTTTGTTTGGAACTTGAATCTACAATTACCGGTATAAATATTCAAACACAAAAATCAAAATACAATTACAACATCCATGATTAAAAATACCCCTGGTAAGTGTAGATGGTAACAACTTAGAAAAATACAAAAATGTCTTTTTCATTCACATACAATATATATTCTTTTTATAACCGTCTTTTTTTAGTGAGTATTTAGCTTTTAGCACTAATTCAAACTGTAGCTAATTCCAAATATATAATCGCCATCACATTGTTGACATTGGGACAATTTTGCTAAAATGTATCTCATTGAACACAGGTTGTCATGGTTACAGTTAAGTATTCTATTTGAGATGCACTAGAGGAAATGCTGATTAAAAAAAAAATGATTAAATCATCTAATCAAAAGATCGGTGTTTTTTCCGTATGTCAAAAACCTCCAAATACTGTCTTCTGGCTGATAAGTACTGGACACATTGTATAAAATAGTCAATTTCAAAACACTGAAGTTGTTAAATTTCATGTAAATATGAACATAAATTTTACACTTGTAGTATTTATCACTTGGAGCTCATTTCAAACAAACACAATGTGGTCTGATGAATATCAATGTTTAGAAACTGGCATCATGTAACTGTGCTACTCGCTTTATGATTGCTTGATGACTGGCAAATAGCGGAATACGAGAACTGATACGTTGCCAGCGGACAGCTTGAGCATCGTCACCTGCCTGTAACCAAGGCAAGTCAAAATAATATTAGATAAGATTATGCAGTGGGTCGAGTGTTCATGGTAGATGCATACTCATTATTATTGATAAACTTATTCATGTTCATTGGTATAATTATTTACATGTAACATCATGGACTTATTGTCCCATGGCACCATGAAATTGCATTCTTTTTTTGTGTTACAGTGACGTATTTTGAAGAAGAAAAAATTATTTTTAGAAAAATTCAATAAAACACAATGTTAAAAAATTGTATTTTTCAACACTTAAAACCCAGATTTTTGAAAAATGATTCAGGACAACAAAGCATATGCCATCATTTACAAATATATGATTTTTACAGCCTACAATTTGAGATAAGGCATTTTATCCACTAAAATACAACAACCATTTTTTCGAAAATTAAGCTGATGACCCCCAAATTTTTTTTTTAAGTCAGTATCATAATATCAACTTGGAGTATAATTTGTGGCAAAATTAAATTCTTGGTATTTGTATTTATGAGTAGACTTCTACTTTAATATGAAATAATCGTTTGATTATCATGATACACTAACGAGAGACTGATACAGAGAATCTTATTGTATGTTAACCCCTGTGACATTGTCTTGATCTCTTGCAGCACCTGATGGTTACTATGGAGAAACCACAGTACAATACACCCACATTGATACAGTAGAAACAAAATACACTGGTGAATGTGAATGACCGGCATCTGATGTGAGGATCAGTAGAAACAAAATACACTGGTGAATGTGAATGACCGGCATCTGATGTGAGGATCAGTAGAAACAAAATACACTGGTGAATGTGAATGACCGGCATCTGATGTGAGGATCAGTAGAAACAAAATACACTGGTGAATGTGAATGACCGGCATCTGATGTGAGGATCAGTAGAAACAAAATACACTGGTGAATGTGAATGACCGGCATCTGATGTGAGGATCAGTAGAAACAAAATACACTGGTGAATGTGAATGACCGGCATCTGATGTGAGGATCAGTAGAAACAAAATACACTGGTGAATGTGAATGACCGGCATCTGATGTGAGGATCAGTAGAAACAAAATACACTGGTGAATGTGAATGACCGGCATCTGATGTGAGGATCAGTAGAAACAAAATACACTGGTGAATGTGAATGACCGACATCTGATGTGAGGATCAGTAGAAACAAAATACACTGGTGAATGTGAATGACTGGCATCTGATGTGAGGATCAGTAGAAACAAAATACACTGGTGAATGTGAATGACCGGCATCTGATGTGAGGATCAGTAGGTAATAGATACCCGCACGGGAGAAGTACTTACCTCAAGCTTAAAATGTTGAAGGATTGTGTTATTTTCGTCGTGATAATTCACAGCAACCGTCTCCATCCACGAGTTGTCTGTATTTCTAGGATCATCGACGTAACCTTTGTAAACCTACAGAAAAACAATAAACATGCATTTTTTTAAAAAAAAAGTTTGTGGCTATTTATACTTCTCAACAATCTATTGGTGTTGACATTGTAAATGGTGTCATTCAATCAGGGCAGCTTCAAATCAACTATTATTGGATTGCTGCAGCTACATGATTGGCTGATATTAACCGTGACATTGATTGGTTGATATATATAGCATGCATCTAATTTGAATATGTTACATGATTGGCTGATATTAACCGTGACATTGATTGGTTGATATATATAGCATGCATCTAATTTGAATATGCTACATGATTGGCTGATATTAACCATGACATTGATTGGTTGATAAATATAGCATGCTTCTAATTTGAATATGCTACATGATTGGCTGGTAGTAACCATGACGTTGATTGGTTGATAAATATAGCATGCTTCTAATTTGAATATGCTAATTTTCCAAACACTGGATGACAGTTATAATTTTTCCTAGTATGTGCTATATCAACTGATAGTTACCATAGCGACAAAAACGATACTGCCTCATTCTTCAATGGTCTGGTTGCTATGCAATACTACAAGTATTGAACTGGCGTCAAATTACACATGAGCCATAACAATTGTTTCAGTTCTCTGGTTGGTCTTTACTAGCTCCTACACACTACACTATTTGCAGTTCAAACATAAATGTGAAAGGATTATAACTACATTACTTTATCGTCACAAATAACCTACAATGATAACGAGGCAGAAATAGAATTTTGACAGTTGTTTCACTCGCTTGCATGTTGATGTGCAACTGATCTCTAAAACTGATCACTGTCACTATTCATAACTGTGAGAGCCTCGTTCCCCTTCACACATGCTCAGTTCTGACACAATCCAGCATTTACTTCAAAATCCATGAATTAAGATGCTATATGGACAAAAACATATATTTTTTTCAATATTGCCGTTCAATAGTCCACACTGAAGACTACCGGTAAATCAGACTATAAACTAAAAATGCATTTGCAAAACACGCAACAGTATTCGTAAGGGAAAAAAATATGCATCTACCGGTAATATGCATGTGCAGAAATTGTTTTATCAAATGAAAAGTCAGCGTTTTCAGTTTCATAGTCCAATTGTATCAATATATATATCAAACAAGTAAATAAAAAAATCACATAATCTCGCTCACATTGCATCTTTAAAACCCATTATAATCAAAATCAATAATTTTTTTAGTTTTTGAACATTTTAGGAACACAACTTAATGCTTTCTATCATCTACAGATATTCTAATTGCTATCTATAGTATCAAATCCAGATTAAATGTTTTTCCTTCCGAGCCTGTTTTTTATTTTATGATTGTCATGAGTACAATTTGGTGCATGAATTTGGTGTACTTTTCAAGACTTTACTTTTTAATTATAATCTATGTTTGTCTAGTTGTGGTAAAAGATTTGTTTAAAAAAAATGTTGTAATTTAACAACTTACATCTATACCATCTTTGAAGAACTTGTCCAGATCAGCCTGGATTTTGATGATTTCGTCCTCACATTTATTTAGTTTTCCAAGCGCCTCTTCACTGAACTCTGATTTCAATGTATGGCTCACTAACTGACCTGGCTCAACCATTCCCTATAAAAAAAAGCAGTTTAATATCTTATCACTACCGGACTTTCTCGCCCAAATTTGTCTTCACTTTTTTCTTATATTCTTCAATATTTCTGGAAATTTAAATTTAATTTTGGAGCCAACAGACCAAATTTGAGTCAATTTTGGGACTATTTTGTGACGAAAAGAGGGTGGTGAAAAGTTTAATGATGCTGCCAACTAGGGTCACTAAGGAAATAAGACCTCATCAGGTTTCTAAAAGATATTCATCGTTTTCAGAGTTGCATGAATTCAAAAAATTTAATTTGAAAACTTACACCTGGTATAGCCCATTGCTGATTGTCCATTCTTTGAATCGCGACAAATTCCAATATTTTCTTGCCATCGTCCACCATGATAGATCCCTGCGGATTCCGTTTCCACCTGCATTAAATAGAAGTGTGGATACTGATGAAGATGAACATGTAAACACAGGAATATGCATAGTATGTTAGACACTTCAGTGACCAAACACTTCTTTAACTCTAAATGTACCAGTGTCCAGTGTGATAAAAAATAGATATCAATATGGTCACTGTAAATTGGTAATATCATGATTAATCAAAATGAAAAATGTGATTATTTTTTTTTTTGATTGATGACGACGAATCAAAACAACATCAATACAATGAAAAGCCATTTTACATCCAAGAAGCCCTTCGTTCTAAGGGAACTTGAGGTGTTTTGAAGGGTATACATGTTTTATGAAGAGCTGAATCAGCTTACTATCAGTATGAAGTATGGTTTTATTGCAAACATAGTACAACCATTGTAACCTTGCCCACATATTTCTTATAAAGTGACATTGATTCAAATCGTACATGATGTGTCCCAGGATGTTTCCAAAGAATTTCACCATGCTCTCTGGGTCATGTGATTTTTTTTGTCTAAATCTGCCATTATGTTCTTCATATTTTGTAGGTCCTGTAATGTTATAATCATTATTTGAAATTCAGAAATCCATATAATGGACAGTTTGAAATCTGTACTTCAGCCATTCTCTATTGTCATACCTTGTAACAATAGGGTCCGCAGCGTGGTTTGGACCAAACCGTCCAAGTAAACCACGTCCAATCATTCCAGTACGACCTTTTGGATTTCTATAAACAAAAAAAAATTCACAAACTAAACATATTTTTCACAACATCTCTATCAGTAGATCAGTTTCATGACCTCTCAAGATTACGCATACTGGTACTTTCAATGGTATGCAAATCAAAAATAAAATATTCAAGTTCCTAGTCATTTTTTACATCACTTTTTAGATTTTTTTTTTCAAAATTTTCGAAAACAATAAAAATCACAATGAAGGTACAATTTTAGTACAAAAATAAAAAAAACAAGAAGCCAGAAAATAAAAATGACCAGAAACTACAGATCTACAATAAACATTGCATACTCACAATGGTAATCCATCCTTGACAGTGTAAGTACCAACATAACTGATTCTACTAACTTTAGAGTTAGTATCCAACTGATTATAACACATTGGCGGTCTTTGATCTTTACTCATTGCAATCAAATCAATGTCTGCCCAGGGCGGGTTCTTTAATACGACGTCTGCCGTGTAATTCGTAGGACGATAATCAGCGAAATCAATCTGAAATGGAAAAATAGAAATATTGTTACCATACTATATATTTTTCATATATGACTCTTTTAACCAGTGTAAGGCTTACTCTCAAGGAGAGCGGCTAACTCACTTGCATAATTACATAGGGGTGCACAGCATGCACCTCACAAACATAAATTTCGTACTGAAAAGTTAGAGCATCCAACTACCTTCTAGTAATCTAGCAGCCATCATGACCCTGTGAATTCATGGAAGTGTTTTTTCATACACTGTATTCTCGAGGGCAGACATTCAGGCATTTTTACCCCCTGAACAGTGTAACAAGATTACCCCTGCGTGTGTAACATATATAAATTTTATTGTTCGGGATTACTTCAAAATTGAGTTTGTGTTGTTTTCTTGAATTTTTACCGGCTCGACCGGCATTCCACAGCAGCTCGCTCAGAGCCCATAGAAATACACGGTATAGTGGTGCACGTCTTAGCAATGTAGAACGTCTTGTGACGTAGCTCCGCCCCCAAGAATATGTAACATTGAACCCAATATTGAACATGACGTGGGACGATAACTTAACACTTTAAATAGAAAAATAGATTTTTAATTTTTTTACCTCCCAATGTACTTTTTCGTCAGGCACTTTAAACCGCTGCACGGCACACATTGGATAGGGACTTGACCTTGATTTGTAATGTAACATGAGTCCAAGTTCCTCAATACTTGTTGCTACTTTCAGCGTTTCATCTTCCTCATCATCGTCTAAATCATTGTAATCAATAGATTCTGTCGAATAAACACATTTAAATCTGTAAATGAAGGTAGCAACACTCAATGCATATATCACGCAATATAATGATTAAAGCGCGGTGGTCGCTGCGCAGCGCGTGTTCGAATTTCATGTAAATAAACAATGTATTTTACACGCGTTGTATACGTCGCTATGAGTCCCATAACGAACAGGACGCGGCGCGACGACTCCGCCCTTTAATTTTTGTAGATGAAAAAGATTGTCCTTGCATTATACTGGTTCCCATATGTTTTGTAAGGTTTCAAAATGGTAAGTAAATATTAAATAAATATTTTTATGCCTTATCAGCACACACGAGGATAACGACAGATACAAACCACACTTTATGTGACATAATTTGTGATCTATCAAATTAAAATGCAATCATGACAATCTGGATGAGTTGTCTCAATTTTCAAATTAAAATAATACGATTGAACTGCAAACGAAACAAACTTATAAAATCACCATTACAGTTTGCATCAAATAATCCTGTTGCCGAAAAAGAACGATCGATACTTACGATCTTTGCCTCGGGAATCTTGCAGTTTTGGTGGTCCGCTTTTAGCCGTTATTTTACTGTCTATTAATGCCTGTATGATCCAATCCAGTGCCATCTGAGTTTTGGCCATCTAGAAAAAAAACACATCATCAATAAACTGAAGTTTTGATTCATTTAGGTGTTTAAGTACTGAAAAAAATTGGAACAAAATTTTAGATCAGTTTTTTGTTTTCTACTTGATTAAATTTTAAAATAAAGTCAAATAAAGTCAATCTAATGAGTGTTGGGAATTCAGTCACATTTATAATTGTTTTAATATATTCCTTTTTATTTTATTTTATTTTAATGACATTTCATCGTGACACGCATTTTGGCATGGTTACATACATGTACCATGGTAGTTATAGCAGTAATGTTATTCAACCTTTGTAATAACATTATTTTTCCCGTAAAAATGTTGGTGCACATTGCACATTTTGTAGTACTGGTAGAAATGAAGTCTAGGAATAACACGCAGCCTGTCGGCTGAGATAGCTTCACTGTTAACAATACACATTTCAATTAAAGAACTGAAGATATAATTAGAAAATGAACAATATGTATAGTATCAAAGCAATCGGACTTGCAGTTTTCAACAAGAATTCGAAAATATCACTTTTTACCAAAAATGACAAAAATATTCACCAAAATTAGAGAATTGAAGATATCATCATGAAATGAACATATCTAAGTGAGGTCTACCCAAGGTACACCAAGTATCCAACCATTCAGATTTGTAGTTTCCAAAAAGAAGTCGAAAAAGTAAAAAGTTGACACGGACGCCGACGGACGACGGACAATCACTCATATGATAAGCTCCGCTCGACAAAGTCGACAGCGAAGCTAAAAATATCAGGGAAAAGGACCAATTGCAATTCTGAGTTCACCAAAACAGTTATTTGTTCTCATTATTATTTATTTTATTGAAAAAACTACACTGTGTCTTTGTGACTCCTTATATGGAAATAAGATTTCCTAATAAGGTATAGATGGAGATGCACATACAGATGTATGTAGATGTGTATTATTTTTTTTCATATTTTCAACATAATAATGATACAAGTTTTACATTAAAACAAAAAGAGATATTACATTGAACTACGTTACCTGGTTCTCCATCTTACCCATCCGGACACTCAGTTTTTGCATTGGTCCACCGGATTCCACGGCAACCGACTGATCATCATCTTCGTCGTTCACGGTTTCCTCCCACTTTTCCATGTAGTTCACTAATGCATCAACCCTGGTAATAAAAGTGAATACACAGTATTAAAATAACTCTCTTTCCTTAATCCTTTGAGCATCAACATTTTTCACGCCAAAACTTTGGTACAACATTTTGCCCATTTGTATGATTTTTTTTTTTTTTTTTTGAATAATTTAAAACCAAATGAACATAATTTCCAATTGGCTACAGGTAGTCAAAATCATATGTAGTTGTTAGAATGGTACACCTACATATTATTACGAAATTCTGATGGTTAATTTTTATTATTGTGATAACTTGAAATCTATCGAATTTTTTTAAATGTTTTCAAAATATTTTATGTTGATATAAAAAAAATGGGAAATTGATTGTCCAAATCAATAATTATATGCCACATTTGAAACATTTTGACAAATTTGGCACTACACAACATAATATACAGTAGAAGACTTTATTTTAGCTGGAATTAATTTTCGATGAAAAGGCTTTTTGGGTGTTTTGTATGGAATTTATTTTCACTGATTTTTGATGAGTTGAATGTGAAATATGGGAAAAAAAGTATATTTGCTGGATTTTATTTTCACTGAAGCATCCCTTCAGCAAAAATAGCAAAAATAAATTCCAAGCGAAAATAAAGTATTCTACAGCAAGAGAGCAAAGTGCCAGGATGTATGACCTTTTGTAAAAGGTCATATCAACTTACTTTT